ATAAATCTAACCAAAAATCAATATAATTATTAGCCTTTTGAAGCTCTCAGAATATATTCCTGATATATTTATAAATCATTGAACTTAATAAATCTAACCAAAAATCAATAAAGTTCCTGGCCTTTATAAAACACCAGAATGCATTCCTAATATGTTTTAAATTTAACAAAAACTCGATATAGTTTCTGGTATTTAAAAACCTCCAAAATACATTTCTGATATATACTAAGTCTAACTGTCCTAAAACCTTCAGAATGATATTGTGTACAGTGGTCTCTTGTTTCAAGTTCAAGTCCTATATATTGACTAATATCTTTATTGTATTATCATCTTTCTTCGTGTAGAGCCCTTATTTGTATTCTTGCTTCTTCTTCTGTAATGAGTTCTGTTTTTGCAAATTCTGTTTTAAATCGTTCAATTGCAAGATTTATATTGAAATCTTCATCCTCTCTATTGTGTGCTCTTAATATTGCTTTAACTTCTTTTAGCATCCATTTATGTTTTCCAGAATTTTGCCTTGTTGCTTTTGACTTGTTGCTTTTTTTTTTGCTGCTTTCACCTTGCTGCTTTGCTTCTGCTACTTTCGTCTTGTTGCTTTCTCTCTTGCTGCTTTTGCCTTGCTGCTTTCTCTTTTTCTGCTTTGCTTTTACCACTTTCGCTTATTATTTCTTCGCTTCTTTCTCTTTTTTTTGCTTTTTTAATATTTTTCTTTTTTTTTTTTGCTTTCTTTTTTTCATTTTATTTTTTTTATTTTTTTTTATTTTTGTTTCTTTTCTCTTTTCGTTTTTCTCTCTTTTTTTTTGGCTTTTTTTGGCTTTTTGATTTTTTATTTCATTATTTTTTACTCCTTTTTTTTTTTGCTTTTTTTTTTTTTCTTTAATTTTCCTCTTATTTCTTTTCCTTTCCCTCTTTTTTCTTTTTACTTTTATCTTTTTTTTTCTTTTTGTTGTTTTCCCCTTCTCTCCTTCTTTTTTTTGTGCTCTTACCGTATATGTCTAAAAATAAGCT